AGGGTTCACTGTAGATGATACCACACCGATGCTTATTTGGGAGAAGAGCAGGGGTACCAGCCACATGCCAGAGCTTCCTCTCTTATTGGAGCTTTTTTCCTCTTTAAAAGCCTTCTCCAATTAGGCAAAACCTCATCCTCATTCCCAGGAATTGCATCTCTTTGGGAGAAGTTCCCTCGCTGAGTCAATGCTATTGCAAACCACCTGCCTCGCCCCTCTCCACCACCCCTCCAGACCAAGCAGAAAGGGTGGGCAGGGGAACGAGCTCAGGATTTATTTCGGGACTCAGCTCACTAAAAATACCCCAGGCTTCCCGTTTGATCACTCTCCCTGATGACCTGAACGGGGCGCGGCCGCACAGCCGCGCGCCCCACCCTCGGCCCCTCGCCTTTCAAGGAGAAGGGCGTGGGGCGGAGAAGAGCCCCGCACCAGGGCTGTGGTCGGCCGCACTGACGTCAGGGCTTCGCTGCGCTGGCCCGGCCACAGAGCTACCTAAAGGAGAGGGGCGGGGACGGGGCCGCCTCGGCTGGGATTGGTTGGTTAAGTGCGAGCGGCTTCTCGGATTGGCTAGCGAGGGCTTGGAGAGCGTCCCGCTCTCCAATGAAAAAGGCCCGGGCGCGTCCGGCCGCTCGCAGAACTCACCCCGCGGCCGGCGACTTTGCCCATTGAGCTGCCCAGGTCTCCGCCGCGCGCGCTCGGGCGCACGCACCGCCAGAGAAGCTCGGCGCTCTTTCTCCAGCTCGGAAGAAGATGGCAAAGGTGGCTAAGGACCTCAACCCTAAAGTTCAAAAGGTGAGCTGCGATCTGTCTTCCCTTGCCCACATTCTTTCTTTCCCTCCCGGCTTTCCTCGCTTATCCAGTGAAAACGCGGTCAATGCCAAGACTTCCTAGAGAACGAAGCAGTTGGGAATTGATGGTTGAGCTAACAGACACACATCCTTAAGAGCCACTGGGGTTTCAAAAGTGGGTGGGAAAATGGAATTGAAAGATAAGGAAAATTTCCCATGAACTTTCTGAAACCTCCTAAGTGCACTGGTGATTTACTTGGTGGTGCTAATTAAAATGTAACTAGAGTAATACTTTTTTTTTCTTTGTAATCCTCTGGTCTTTAGGATTGAGAAAAACCTAGTTTGTCCAGTTCCACCTCCTACGGTGAAAGTAGGAGCTAGGGGGCATGAACGTTATCTCTTTTTGCTTTCATCCAGTGGGGCTTTCCCCACTTGGCTTGTGTTTCGCGCGTTTATTGTGCACACATACAGACACATACACACACACCCCCACACACACACCTTCTTTGTTGATGATATTGGCAGTGGCAGCAGTTCTAGCACAAGGGAACAAGCTTCTGTCCCCAGGGTCAGCACGTTTCCTTTTCAAGAATGGCTGGCCTGGTGCCCAGAAGGTCACGGGTAAACCGCAGAGGAGGCCTGCAGCTGTCCCTGTAGCTCCATCACTCCTGAATCACCTGAATGTAGCCGGAGAAGGGCACAGGCTGGCGTCTTAGAGGGCATGTCAGTGGGAAGCCGCTGAGACACACACCAGACTAGCACCCTTACTTTACAGCTGGAGACACGGAGGCCCAGTGTCACAGGGAGCCAGCCCCACCGAGCTGCAGAAATCCCGTGTTCCAACCCTGGCTTGATCACTTTCTAGTTGTGCAGTATTGCCCAAAACACTTTTCTGAGCTTCAGTTTACCTGCTTCTAATGTGGAATGATAGTTCCCATCTCCCTCCCAGCAGCTGCAGCAGTGATGGAGAGACCCTGTGGGTCACGCTCCCCATCGGTCATTCCTAAACTCTGGTTTGGGGCAGTTCAGCCTTGCTGAGCATCAGCATGAACGACCTGGGAGCTAAAAGGAGAGGCCTAAAGAAAAGACAAGGGCAGAGCCATAACAGAAATGCAAGCCTGCCCTGGGGTGGTAGGCATCCCGCTGACTTACAGCTGAGGCCGAGCCCTGACAGTGCTTGAAGAGTACAGTGTGCCTGTCTGAGTCGGCACACCAAGCCACACCGGATCAGGACATGTTTCTAGAACCTTCCAGGCCCTATTGCATTTGGTAGACTATTTCCAGAATCATCTATCCTTCGGTGTAGTGCTTATGACACTGCCTTTGCACAATACGACTTACACCTAATGGTTTAACACAATATGATTTACACCTAATGGACTAGGCATGCACCTGTCTTCCTTCCCTATACATCTTTCCCAGCTCCTTGGGGACATACCCTTCTTGTTGCCCTCTGTTCAGTACAGTATGCCAGACACAGCAGGCCACAGAAAGTTCTTCAGCGAATGACTTTTATCCATCTGGCCAAGACCCTAGCCCTTGCATGTAGGACATCTTACATCTGATGCAATGTTGTTTTGTTCACTCGTTGTAGCACTGGAATATTTATCAGATGTAAGATGTGTCTAAACTGCGTCCCCAAATTCTGCTAAGGTAAAGGTTCAGGGCTAAGATAGCAGAGTTCCGCTGCCCTCTGGAAAACCAAAGGCTTTCTCGGTATTTTCACAACACACTGGTGGCTGGATAATGTGTGAGTGGAGCCAGTGTGTGTGTGAACTCCCCCTCCTCACAGGCTGGGGGCTCCAGCTCTCAGGGAGCCTTGTTTTGCTTTTCTTCTGCATAGGAGAGTGTGATTATCCAGATTAGAGGTGGAACAACGTCTCCTTCTTGACACCCGACAGTGCCAACTTCCTTGGCCTGCTAAGAGTTTATTTTTCCATTTAGATCCAATTACAGGCTTAGAGAAAGAATGTGGTGGGTAAAGATGAAAGGGTAGGTTTTTTTTTTTTTTTTTTTGCTCTTGGGACTGTGACAATCCGAAACTGGCTCACCACTCTGAGAAGGAAGGATGGGAGAGGGGAGAAATGGGCCTCGCTGAACACACCACAGTGTTTAAGTGCTGTGTCATACCAACAGCATGCTGAAAAGCTTTTTATTGCATATTTACTTTTCCAATCTGTAACAGTGGGATTTTATAACGTTTGGCTTCAGGGTGCACAATCACACTTAGACATTTTGAAATAATTTCATAGTCTCTTGGAACTGTAAGGGACCTATTTACATGGAAATGATTTTCAATGGCTTCCATAAGCCGCCTCCACGGACCTGCTCCACTCCCCCAGGGGAAGGAGGCACCAGGAACCCTTGCAGCTGCAAAGTCATTTAAAAGGCATCGAGAAAGAACATAAAATTCAAAAGTGAGAGTCGTAGTGAGAGCAGTAGCCCTAGAGATCAACTCCCCAATCTCAGAAGGGCGAAGGAACTTCCCATGGTGGAGCCCGGAAACAGCTCTTCCCTCCTTGTGTCTCTGTCGAGTCCAGCTCTTCCACTGGCCTCTTGCTGCCATCATTTGATTTTCGACAAGGAAGGAGAAAGATTCCTAGTGCCGAGAGGACCCTGCTGAACGGTGAGATGGCCAACACCTCATGGTCATTGCCCGTGGTGGATTTGTTCATTATGTGTTAAGTCTATCGAAGAAGACTGGCTACTAGTACATGCTGTGGCCCCAGATCTGGTTTCCAAACTCCACTCCACTACTTTCTAGCTTTGTGCTCTTGACCAAGGTAACTAACCTCTGAGACTTTTTCTTCTAATCCGAAAATTGGGGAGACAGTAGAAGCTGTCTTTTTATCACTACCTCCAAAGATGGTGGTGATAATTAGATGAACTGATACACATAAAGGGAATGAGCATTCAATAAGAATGAGTCACTATTATGTCAGTAGTAGTCAAATGTTCCAGTGCGTGTATGAATACCGAAAGGGTTCGTTTGGAAGGTTCGTTCATTGTATGTATGTGTGTATGCATGTATGCCTGAGCAATCTGAAGGATAACCAACTCCCACCCAGCGGACCTTAAACCAGTTGCTCAGCCGTGATAAGAGGGGACAGCGGCCCATCTTGTCTTCATTCTAGAACAGCAGCTACACAGAGTTTGTCCTTCTGAAAATAGATCACCAGTCATTGAGCAAGTCCCTTTAGAGGCATAAAACATTCCACCTAGAAGGGGGCTTCGAGCACTTCTCTCTTTTCGGATAAGGAAACCAAAGTTCAGAAAGGTTGAACTCCTGACTTAGGTTGCTGACAAACAGTGAGGCCTTTGGCTGTCAAAGAGGTATTTGTAGGAATCTAGGAAGGCTCAGAACATCGAGATCTAAAGGCATGCACATCGTTGATGGTGGTTATGCCCGTGGAAGTGTTTATTTCCCGCCCCTCAACACAGTGTCTGAGGAGTGCTGAAAGATGGCATTTTAAATGCATTGCCAACATCAGCTTGCTCTCTCCCCACACATCATACCATGTTCCTCTTGGCTCTCCTGTCCTCCAGGTTAGACATTCTTCCATGCTCCCCCTTCCAGCCTTCACCTTCAGGCCCAGCTATGGACAAAGATGTTGGCGCCATGCCCAGGTGTGCTCGTCCAACAACAACATGGTGTTTCAAGACTTACTGTTGGCTCATGAAATCTTAGAAACGTATTAAGCTGTCACTTAAAGACCTTAGTACCCAAAGTATTGGAGACACGCCATTAGGTGTATAAGCAAATTCGCCGTGAAGAAAGCATTATTTTAAAAGGAGAAAGAAAATTATAAGTGCCCCTTAAAGTTAATTTCTGCTAAGTTGATTCCAACTCGTGGTGACCCAAGCATAGAACCGCTCCCTATGATTTTTTGTCTGTGATCTTTATGAAAGCAAATTGCCAGGCCTTTCTTCCATGGCGCCACTGGGTAGATCCCAACCTCCAATCTTTTCTCTCCATATTAAGTGATTGAGTTAGTTTATTGTGCCAACAAGGCTGATAAACACATGCGGGATTAATTCAAGGGTGGAGGGATAAATGGCTCAGTGAGCCTCGCCTTTCTAGTTCTCGGGTCTCTTGCTTTGTGATGGTCGCATCAGGGTGCAGCTGCCTTAGCAGCTCCCTGCTTCAGCTTGCAAAATTAGACTGACTTCCTACAAGACATCCCCAAAGAGAAGCCATATGGACCTACCCCGATGCAGCCCTGGGTGCTGGAGCAGCCGTGTGGAGACCCCTGTCAGCGCTGAGATGCTTACACGTTCACTGACTCAGCTTTCCTCCTGCAGTCAGCCTCATTATGTCTGCTTTGTGAGATGGAGGAGGACTTTGTGGACTGGTGTTGGACATATGGGTTAATGGGTTAATGTTGGACTTGTGGGTTTGGGCAGCACTGAGTTGGGATGTTTTATTGATGCACACTTAACCTATGTGTAAAACTCTCTCTTATACATGAGTTTCTGTGGATTTGTTTCTCTAAAGTACCCAAACTAATACAGTGATCAACAGTAACAAGGGAGAAAAGGCCTGGGGGGAGATCAGCAAAGGCTGAGGGTCTGGAAAGAAGGACTTCCCCAAGGCTCGTGTGTATTTGTCCCTCCCACCAGTGGGCATAAGGTATTGAGTATAGAAGCGATGGGATGCTTTCTGCTGGCTCTGGGGCAAGCCGAGCTCCAGGGGAGGCATTTGATTTGACTTTGGGCAGGAGAAGCATCCTTTCTTTCCAACTTCAGCATTCATAATAATTGGTGTATAATAAAATAGGGATTTGGTATGAAGAGTAACTGATCTTGATTGCTCTTATCTCCTGGCTGGTGGCTGGCCCCTCCAACATGATTTACAAATGCTTTAAAGCACCAATTGCGGCCAGGTTTGAATCATTGCAATGTTATTGCTAATTGCTGTCGAGTCAGGCTTCAACTCTGGGTAACTCATGTACAGGAGAACAAAACCTTGCTCACCTGGGTGCCATTGTGTGTTCTGAGTGTCTT